CACACACACACACACACACACACACACACACACACACACACACACACGCGGGAGGTCTTAGTGCAGTCCGGGGCACGTAGTCGCAAAGAGACACTGGCGACAAAGTTTCAATAACAATCTCAGCCGGCGTAATCCGTCTCTTGACGGAGTCAAGAATGAGGATTCTGCACTGAGGACGAGGTGTATACCAAGAAACTCTGCCGCGGGGTTGCTTGGTATCCGTCAGAGAATCACAGCACAGTGAAGCAAAAGCCAAAGAGGACTACAGAGACAGAAAAATAAGACGGGGGGTGGGTGTAAGGCACAAGCAGCCACTGAAAGAGAGAAGACTTTCTCTCAACTCCGGGCTATTAGTGTAGAACTGAAGTGAATATTAGATTAGCAAAGCACAGAGACTCCCTTCTGAAAGCACTGAAGAAAGTGCACCGAGAAATCTGAGCATCCTTGATAGATTTTCAAGTTTGAAAGGGGTCTCCAGTGAGTGGGAAGCATCTGTTTAAAGGGCTTTGATTTGTGTGTATTGAAACATCAAATTGTGAGTAGGAGCAGGCTAAAAATAGACCCAGCAGTCCCAGAGCCATTGTTGTGTGCAGGGATAATGCTAGGCTGTGTGAATCTGTAAGCCAAGCTGCTATTACTTGGGTTATAAACATGAGCTACAGCTAGTAGGGCGACTATTACAAAGCCAACTACAGCTATAAATAAATAGCTGTGGCCTGTAATGAGGCCGATGACAGAGGGATGCTTCAACGACACACAAATCACTCTCGGGTTGAAATTCAAGGGGGACACTCGGGAACAGCTTCTTTTGTTACTGATTTTGACACTTAAATTGTCCATTTGAGAATTTTTTTGGATGCTTGGCTTGATGAAAGACGCTATGTAGTCATTCAAAGTAAGGAAATTTCAAGACCACCCAATCATTGTTCTGATTTTGTTGTGTCAAATGCACATTTCTTGTCCTAAAGCAATTATTCCCCATCCTCGAGGGTGACGGAATGATTACCAGAGTAGGAAAATTAACTTTCACTCCACAAATTTGTGTTTATCTTTCCGACTTTTGTCAGATTTGGCTTGCTGTATTGTCAAATAAGAGTCTGGTTCATCAATCCTCTGAAAATTCTTCAAATGAAACAGTCAGTGAGAGGAAAATTACTTTTTGATTGAACTCTTCACAATATGCTCCAAATAGACACTTTGTATCAAGGGATCACACGCATGGAGAAGGCCGGGAACCACTGCAACTAAAGGAAAACTAGAGGTTTAGGAATATAGGACTCTTTTGCATCTCTTACAACGAGATCAATGCGTCCACTTTGAGCATTGGCGGAGTCGGTACTGAGCTCTTCCCAATGAGCCGCTCACTGCCA